AGCTTTGTGCAAAAATAACGCTCTGCCTCACATCTTCACTCACATGAGGTAAACAATGGAGAAAGTGGGCATGTTGTTTACTGGGCAGGTGAAGCGATTGGGGTTGAATCCTGTCATGGCCACTGCGGCTGAGAGAGGCTGCTGTTTAGAGTGCAGAATTCAAAATGGCATTATAACATAATTAAATGTTAAAATAAAGTTTGTTTTGCATGATAGAGACTCTTTAATTTATTGTATTAGTGTTTTTAAATACCAACACAAAGTGGGCAACAACTGTAAGGTAAATAATTTATTATTTTAAATTAGTTTCATAAATCATAGTGTATGCATTTCTAATAAGCATCTTTTACTCTGATACTATAAAATAAACCTAGTAAAACACTTCAGAGGCTAGACAGAGAACATTATTGAACCAGCTGTATGAGCAGTTGTTTGGAAGCTTAAGCACAAGATTATAAAACGATATACCAAGCTTTTAGGATCTCACAGAGCCCTGTTATTAACATATTGTCAGGATCTGAGACAAACACAGCCGCAAACCTACAGAGAAATGCCTATCATAACTGGGGGGAGCAGCAATGACCTAGAGCTCAGGTGGAAGGTCCTGCTGACATAGGTGTTCATTTTGGAGCCCAGCAGCACCCCAGTAGTATCAAGAAGACAAGGATAGGTTGAAGAAACAATAAAATGTCCTATGCACAGTTTGCCATTCACCATGTGGGGGTGGATTTACTGGTCAACTTATTTTATATCAATACAAAAAAATGTCATGTTTGGTAGAAAACTGTACATGAGCCTAAAATGTGATTCAGAAGTAAAACCATGGTAAAGTTACTTAGTAATAATATAATAATAAAAGTATTCATTAAATTCTGATTGAAACGGCTCTCCATAGATTTGGCTAAGGCTTGCACACTAGGATGATAGTTTACCTTTTAGCATGATTGCAACCTCAAAAATACGGCTGCAGATATACTATTTAAATAAAAGCATATCCATCTACTTAAATAACTTAGATAAAAAAAATCCAGTTAACCTCAATTGGTGGGTGAGAAGACAAACTAAAAAGATATACTAAATCAAAGCCCCAGTGATCTGCATTTTATTCCCAGACAGAGTTCAGTACTAAAGTTTTGCATCTGTGCCCAGTAAGGTTTTGTACTCAGTGTGGCTTTAATTCGTGGTGCATCATCCATACAGGATGAGAAGAGCTGTTCAAACAAAGATAGGGATGTCAGACTCTATTACCTTCCAGACCAAAAGATTCAGCAAAACGAGAAAAAAAAAAACAAAGAAAGAATGACTCAAGAATGATTAAAGTTGCAGCCGTTCTGCAGACCTATACAGTGAACTTATGGGATAGGGAGAAGCACTCTATGTTCCTAATTGCAGAGCTTCACTTCGCAGACAAGGACTCATCCATAGGTTTGGCAGGATTTCTTTTCAGATCAAATGTGTCATAAAACTAATTTCTGTGAAATCATATGTCGGTTTCAACCAGGAAATCCATAAAACATTTGGAATGTTATAAATACAATCAGAGTACACTTACCTTTAAAAAACAAGTTACTTATCAGCATATAAAGAACACATTTTGGGACAGAGGCAAAAGATGCAATTCACTAATCATGGTCTAGGGTAGTAATTTTTAGTAATTTTTCTAGTAATGTTTTTTTTTTTTTGCTTTTAAGATGATTCTTATCTGTAAAAGGCAGATAAAACCCGAAAACATGACATTGAAAAATTTATTTTTGTTTATAAGAAGCTCCACATTCACAATTGTTACTCTGCTTTAATCATGAGAAATATCTGTCTGATGCTCAGGGCTGATTTCAGTTTTTTTTAATTTTGCTTTTTTTGTACATCTAATGTAAACAAAGGAGTTTTTTGTTGCTTTTACTCCTTTCATGCTCCCCCCTCTAACCTGACCCAACATGCAGCTACAGTACCTTTGTCTCTGAAAGCCCTGAACTGTTTTTTTTATAAACCTTCAGCTGGAGTCTGGCTGACCTGCCCCCCCTTCTCCTCCCTCAAAGCTGGTTGGAGATGAAATATTTATGGCTTTAGGACTGCTTCAATTGATGTGCTGCTGCCCTTCCAATGCTGCCTCTACTGATGGGGACTGCATCTGCCATCTTCATTCGACCGGTGCTTTTCCGCCTCACAGCAGGAGTTCAAATCTGGCAGAGTGTGTGACCATGGTTTCTGTGCTCTCTCACTGGTATTCACTAATCAGCAGCATATTTTTCTTGCCTGTGGGTAATTAGGAGAGATTGATTAGCTTCTTTTCAGAGCAACAGACAGAAATCCAGCCCACACTGCTGAGAGTGTAAGGGTTAATCTTTACATTGATGATATGAGAAAAGCTA